GGGGGGAGCTGGTGGCCAGGCTGGGCCTGCAGTGCGCCCTGAGGCGGGGAGCGACCTCTTCTGATTCTCTAGGCTTTGATTTCAGATACTCGGCGACCAGGCTGACAGCTAGCCAGAAACTGTTCCCCCTAACGGGTTTTTTTTTCAGCTTATCTGGTCAAACTTATGAACATTGTGCTTTGCAAGCTGAGAACTGCAATAGCTGTTAGAAATGGGGCTTGAGCTACTACCTCAAACGCTGCGTGCGAGATTAGCAAGGTCAGTTTGGGAAGGCAACCCGTGCTTGCTTTTGTTACACCCGAATGCCATGTGTTCTGTACATTGTGGCCTGTGAGGCAGCAGCAGCAATTGTTTATTTCCCAGCTTCTCTGAGCATTTTGCAATTAAGCTGCAGCCCAGCTTAATTTTCTTTTATAGGCCACTGTATCTTTTATTCATATTTTTACAGTGCATTGTCTTCTGCAGAAGAGCCTCATAGTGCTGCTTCTGCAGAGTATTCCCTAACAGCATCTTCAGATCCACTGGTCTGGCATGATAGTTCATTGAGAGTGCTCCTGGAGGAGCCTCACAGCAGGGCCAGATGAACTGTTTTTGCAGCATCATTCTGATGCCATCTTCCCCTGGAGCTTAGTGGCTCTTCCCCAGCTGCAGTGGCTTCACTGCTCGTGCATTGCACATCATGTCCATTAATCCGTCTGTTCTCCAGGAACGGAGGCTGCTGGGACCAGACTGCATGAATTGTCTCTGGTAGCCAGTAGTTTAATTTGTGTCAGCTCTTGAGTTTTTTCCAGGAAAGTGGCTGTGTGGAATAGGCTTAATGAGCAAGCAGCCTAGTCATAAGCAGTTCTTTTTCCAAGGAGCAGCTAGGAAAGTCTCTGTCCGGAGGTGTCTATACACAGATGTGCTGGTTTGCGAAGGATAGAAAGTTACCTGTACTAGATACCTACGTAGGGTTATACAAAGTGCTGTCTTATACCTGGAGTGTGCATAAGGCTTGCAGGCAACTGGTATGGTAAGCCTTGTACCTGTGGGTGGTAGGGACAGTGCCTCCTCACACGGGGTTCCAATGGCTCTGTGGTGGAAGAGTCATAGGCTCTGACCTTCTGCTGCCATTAAAACAGGCTGGTTGGTCTACATCGCCTTTCTGGCTGTTTTTCTGTTGCAGCACTGATTGCTGGGAAAGGTTTCTGCATCCTGTAGCAAAGAGGTAGCTGAGCCTTGGTTTCCTACCTCCTGGGTATATTCAACCATTACCTTAACGTGTGAGAAATGTGCTGTACCTCCCATGTCTTTGACTCATGTCTTAGAAGCAAGTATATGCATGTGCATTTGAGACCCTCTGCACACAGCCTGAGGCTGTCTTGAAGACATTTTGAGTACCTATACCTTTCCTATGCTATGGGAAGAAAAACATGCAAGTGTGCATTATAAACTTCAAACAAGTATGAGGACTCTACCCGTGGCCAGGCTGATAACTGGCATAGCACCACACGAGTGTCTCTATTGGCCAGCATCTAGCCACAGCGTGGGCAGGAGGCTCATGTTTGCTTGAGGTCAAATATCCAAATCTAGCTTATCTCTTCCTTTCTTCCTTTCTTTTCTTTTCGATCCTGTATATCCATGTCTGTGTGCTGGATTCAGATTAACTAGGTGCTGTCGGGGATGGACATGGATATGTGTTGCCCTAAGGCTGCCTTAAAACCTGAGGTTTTTCTGGAAGCTGACAGTACCTGAACAGAGGTTTCCAGTGTAGTGATAAAGGATTGAAATGCCTGTGCTTTGCCTTAGATCTGTCTTCTGCTTCTGAAGCTCAAAAGGTCATGTGACTTGGAAGTGATCTCATACTAGAACAGCAACATTTCACATGTATTTCTTGTAGCTCTGGTTAAAAATCCCTCAGAGCATCAGTGTTGTCCTGCCTGTTAGTTTCAGTCATCAGTGTTTCATCTAAGCAGAATTTCAGGTGGTGAAGAAAATAAGTATTGTCAAATTTCTGACCAATATGATGTATTCAGGGAACAGCAAGAGACTGCTGTTTTCAGAAGGAATGTGTGCAGTACTACTGAAATACTTACAAAGCACAAAGCAATGTATTTGGATTTGTTACACTGTAAGAGCCATTTCACTTTTTGACTTGTCTCTTTCAAAACTGAGCAATGCAGATGGTACTAGAAACAGGGCAAGAAGGGACTGCAGTTCAGCAAGTCTGATTATCAGTACTTGTGAGCAAAAACAGTTTGTGAGGGCACCTATTCCTGCTCCCAGCTAAGTGTCACAGGATCAGAACAGTTGAGGTGGGAAGGGACCTCCAGACGTCACCTGATGCAACCCCCTGCTCAAACAGGGCCACCTAGAGCTGGTAGCCCAGGACATGTCCAGGTGGCTTTTGGAAATTTCGAGAGAGAGAGACTCCACAGCCCTTCTGGGCAACCTGTGCCAGTGCTCGGTCACCCTCACAGTGAAAAAGTGTTTCCTGATACTCAGATGCACCCTTCTGCGTTTCAGGTTACATCCATTGCCTCTGCTTGTGTCACTGAGCACCACTAAATAGAACCTGGCTGTGTTCATCTTCTTTACACTATCCTTTCAGATATTTGTACACATAAATCGGCAAGTGTTGCAGAGCTCTGGCCTGGGGCTTCAAGCACAACCAGTTTGTGGGCAGTGCTAGCTCATGCACCACTGGGTTCTGTGCTTGGCTTCAGGCTAGCACTGGTCATTCTGGGGAAGGTGAGAGGAGAGGTGAGCAGAGCTGTGCATCTCGTGGAGAGAAAGGGAGAACATTCTTTATGGTGTGTCTGGGTAACCAGTAAATGCTCTGATGCCCAAGAGTAATAAAGACAGTGCCATAAATACAGGGCAGTCAGTTTCCTTCCACAGCACTGACTCAGCAAATTGAATGTCAAGATCCTGGTGTTGCAAGTGTTGAGTTTTCATTTTCAGATTGTTCTGCTCCAGTTGTGCAGTCTCTTCCATAGATCTGAATGCAGCATTTAAAACAGCTGCACTTATTTTGCTGCACTTTTGGTTAGACATGTTCTAAATTCCACTTTCATTCACATTGCTAACAAAAGTCATCTACATTTAGCTACTGCCTCAAACTTGACTCTCCTAACTGGATATTGGGGATTTCTGAATGTTTACCTTATCATGGCAGATAAATGATTTTTAAAGTTGTGTTCTTGAGGCTTTTGAAGCCATTGATCAAGGGAAATTAATTTCATGCATCATATCAAGGAAATCTTAATCCATTACATTTATCCGAGGAATGCTGTTTAGTGGGTGTGTGCGTAGGTTTTCATTTTAAAAAGTGAATGAAAGCATTGCAGTGTTGGAACGTCAAGTCAGAAAATGTGATAGTGAGGTTAAAACCAATCCTGTGTGCCTGGACCATCATTTCAGTTTTCATCTTTCTCAGTTAAAATCTGCAAAATAAAATTGCATCCTTGCAATGGTAATAATGCTTAAGTTACTAAACTTCTGCATGTTATAAGGTACTATGTAAGGATTTATGCTTACTGTAGGTTAAGGTTGGACCATTTTGGTCACATGCAGAACAGCCTTTTTGTTTTAAAACATATTCTGTTGCTGCTAAACATTCTAACTGAACAAAAATGCAAATTACTAGAAGTATTTGAAGGAAGAAGTGGTAGTGGTTTTGTGAAGAAAGTCAGTGATTTAATTTCTATCAGAAGGTTCTTCTGTGCATTGTTCTAAAGACCTTAAACACCCAAATTATTGCACAAATATTGAAGTATTGAAAAGGCCAGGACTTGGTGATACTTCTCTGTTAGGGGAAGTGTGTCGGAGTTGTTTGTACTGATGTCTCTAGTGCTGTTTTTTATTAACTCTTACATATTTTTACAGAATATGCTTTTAAGGCCATAAACCAGGGTGGACTTACATCTGTAGCTGTTCGTGGGAAAGACTCCGCAGTAATTGTAACACAGAAGAAAGTACCTGTAAGTAGTTTGGTTTTGAGGGGGAGGCTGGAAGGAGATAAGGAAAAAGGTGGAGGTGAGACTCTGCAACATTGATATTATGTTTATTGGCATTGACATATATGGCAGTTTGAATTGAGTATCTTATTCTCATTCTGCTTTTGACAAGTTCTAGCTCCTTTTGGCACTCAATTGTACATGTCCTGACCAAGTACTATAATACTGGTTTTCTCTATAGCTGTCAAAAAGATTAATGCTAAAACATTAAGTTGGTCCTACTGGAGTTGAGCATGCTTGCATTACTCAGGCTTGTAAGGGCTGAGTTGTCTGTAGTCAGTTTCTTGATTTCATTAATCCCTACTCAGAACACCTTATACCAATAACATGCAGAACTTATTTTCATGGGTGTTTCAGCACATTGGGAGTGTACTGTTGACAAAGGGGAAAAACCCTTGTGTTTTAAGGGCAGTGGGCAAAGAGGGCTCAAGTTTTTGTATGTGTTCTCAAATGTTTCTTCAGAAGGAAAAGGACTTTGTTGGTCTAGCTGTCATCCTTTTGCAGATGTTGAGGTGTTATCTTCCTCATTTTCCTGTTTTTTCCTTCACATGCCTATATCAGTAAACAGTAATAAGCCTGAAAGATAATTTTTAGCTGTTTGTTGATTTTTATTTTTTTATCACTCTTCTGTAAATACTGGAGCATTCAGAGTCTCTCTTTTTTGTACTTGAAGAACAGTGTTTTCTATTAGTGTATTTCTATTTCCACTTTAGGACAAGTTACTGGATTCCAACACAGTGACTCACTTATTCAGAATTACAGAAAATATTGGCTGTGTGATGACAGGAATGACAGGTATTTAATTCACCATCTTTTAAAATGTCTGAAGTGTGTCAACTTCTTTATATAGTTCACCTACTTTGCATCACATAAACAATTCAGTGCTTTAGGAGATTTGTACCGCTCGCTCTGATTTTGGAAAACTTGTCTAGTTTTGGTGTGTATATTTAAAGACAACTTAAAGTTGAGCCTGGAATTTGCCTTCTCAAGCAGTGCTAGGAATAAACATGGTAAATGTTTGGTGAAATTAATATTAGTTCTTTCTGTCTAGCTGACAGCAGATCTCAGGTGCAGAGAGCCCGCTATGAGGCTGCTAACTGGAAGTACAAGTATGGCTATGACATCCCTGTGGATATGCTGTGTAAAAGGATTGCAGATATTTCTCAGGTCTACACACAGAATGCTGAAATGAGGCCTCTTGGTTGCTGTAAGTATAGTCTATGAAGTTAACCTTTTCTATTTCTTGTCTAAGCCTGCAACTTCAAGCATAAGAAATTCTCGCCTATTTTCAAATTGTGCAAGATGCAGATGTAACTGAAGGAGTAAGAGGGATGAACAGCCAATGAGAGAGGAGTGTTGGAAGTCTTGAAATGGGAGGCCTGATTTTACTATTGACTCAGCATTTCGTTTGGAGTCAGTGATTTTAGCCTCTTTAAAGTGGGCTATGCCATTTCTCCTAAGTTTTTGGGGCCTAGTCTGTTTGCACTGCACAGTGATGTCTGTGAATAGGAGATGCTCTTTTTACTGGTGTCTGTGTCTAGGGAAGTACTACTGTTTGAACTGACATATGGAGAGTGGAACTATGCTTGTGCAGATTTTGTGGCTTTTTTTGATCTAAGTAATATGTATAGGACAAAAATCTGCGTAATTTTTGCTCTTAACCATGATATATATAATGTAGAGAAGTGGTGTCTTGGAACTGAGATAAAACATTTAATGTTTACTCCATTACCTTTTCATTAAACATTTTGTCTGGGTTTCTTTTTGCTTTGCTTGTTGTGGGGGGGTTTTTTTGTTGTTTTTTTTCTTTTAAGGAGAATAGTTTCAGAACTGATTCATCACTTCTTGTAATCATAGTAGGCACTATTACTTCTCACTAAAGCAGTAATGTTTACGGTTGCACCACAGTTTCCATGATGGGGCGATTTTCCTGTGCTTGTAATGTTCAGGAATGATTGTTTGTTTCTTCTGCTGGAATTTCCCATGCCATTATAGTACTGGAAAGTGATTTTATTTTATTAATTTTCTTTTTAATACGTGAATAAAAATGTATCTTTCTTAACTTCCCTTAAGCTTTTTTTGAAAAGATGATGGATTTTTTTTTTCTGTGTTAGTAATAGTTGCTCAGAAGCTTACTAGCTGTAACTACTAGTTGGAAGTTATGCAGCATAAAGCAAAAATAGTTTAAAACCTTGACCTTGTTCTGTTTTGAATTTTTTGCAAGTATTGCTCTCAAATTATTTTTAATGTGCATATTGAGAGAATACAGCTGTAAATCTAGAAGTACAGGTGAACACAGATGCATTTGCAATCAGATTGTGTTACTCCCAAGTCTGTCCAACTTGAAAGCATTTAGTAAAATGGTCTTCAATGACTCAGGTTTATGTTCTGATATTTTTACATTTAGTTTCAGAATTTTTTTCCTTTAAAAAAAAAAAAGAGGAGAAGGGATGCAATGTAGTGCTTTTCAGAATTACAATCAAGAAATTTGAAGCTGATTTAAAAAATATTTCCGTTAATTTAAACATATTTGTGAAGTTGCCTTCTTGTATTAGGCACATGTTAGTAGAACTATTGTTTACGCTTTTAAAGAGTCATACAGCACACAGGAAGTGAACTGTGGCTGGGTTAGCTTTTATTGGGATTAAACTGTTGTATTTCCTGGCTTTGTGGTTGCCTGCACACAGAGCATGGCAAAAACTTTTCGATCTTTAATGAGTAGCCCTCTTTTGGAATGAAAGAAATCTGGTTTGGAGTAAACTGAGTTGCACACCTGGGAATGAGAGGCTGGTAGAAAACAGCAAGTTAGAGGTAAATAGGAAATCACAGCCACAGGTATTGGACTGGTTCCCAAAAATGTATTGCTGTGCATGCACATGTTTCACAGGAGGGGAGTATCTGTTCTAGTCTTCAGCTGAATGAACTTGCTAAAATTGTGGAAAAAATAAAGTAACAAATTTTCTCTTCAAGGTATGATTTTGATTGGAATCGATGAAGAACACGGCCCTCAGGTGTACAAGTGTGACCCAGCAGGTTACTATTGTGGATTCAAGGCCACAGCTGCAGGAGTTAAACAGACAGAGTCAACCAGTTTTCTTGAAAAGAAAGTAAAGAAGAAATTTGATTGGACATATGAACAAACAGTAGAGGTAGGCCAGCAGAAGGAAATAAAGATCTGTTAAAGTATTTTCAATAGTATGGTGTATGTAGGCTTACGATATAAAGGAAGGCAGTTAGGCATTGCCTGTTTTCTTACAGTTCTGTATTGCTGTCAGAGCAAGTATAGTTATTGCAGCCAAAAAATCTTTTGAAGGTATTTTGCAAGTGGTCAAATAGTTATGTAATCTGCTTTTTCTTCTTCAATTAGCTGAAGCAGAATCTGTCATTTCAGCTAGTGGTTAGTTACTACAGTGCTCAAATACTGGGGATGCCAGTAAAGGCTTCTTTTAGTGGCACTTAAAACAATCTTCATGTTAGAAAGCATGTTCTGTCCCTGGGGCCTAGGATTTTAATCTTTGCATGATAAAACGCTTTTGTTGTGGGTTTTTCCTGCTACAAAAATGACATGTCCCTTGGATTTTTATAAATTGGCTTCTTAAGGAGAGGACCAGGGAGGGACTGTATTCTGTAACAGAGAGAAACTATATCAAACTTTTCAGCAGAGGTTTTGAAGTGGAAGGAAGTAACTTAAAACTGAAAGGAAGGCTAGTTGTTAATTCTATGTCTACATAAAAAGAAAAAAAGCCTTAGTGCTTTCTATTTTATGATAGGTTTTTTTGTTCTCTTTCAGACAGCAATAACATGCCTGTCTACTGTACTATCCATTGATTTCAAACCTTCAGAAATAGAAGTTGGTGTAGTTACAGTGGAAAATCCTAAATTCAGGTAAGTGATCAGTATTGATAAAACGTGATGTGTTTCTCTTACGTGCAATCAGTTTTGACTTTTTGTGTAACAGTAAATTGAGAAAAAAAATGTCAGAAGCTGAAGATTTTGAGTTGTTTACTTTTAACTCTTCAAAATGTGTAGAGGTAAAAGACATTGTTTTTTAAAAATACAGTATCTTAATACAGTTTTCGAATGTTGTTGTGGTTTAACCATGCAGCTGCTTGCTCACCCTCCCCTGCCCCAGGGGATGAGGAAGAGAATTGGAGGAGTAAGGGTAAGGAGACTGTTGTGGTTTGGGCATAACATGACAACAAAGGAACAGCCACCTGGCCGCTCACTCAGCTTCCCCTCCTCAGCTTCCCCCCCGCCCCACGCACACACTCTGGGTTGAGGAGGACAAAGTCCAACTAGAAGCTCATGGGTCAAGACAAAGGACAAGGAGGGTTCTTCACCAATTAAGGTCCCGGGCAAAACAGACTCAACGTCGGGGAAAAATAATAATTAATATCACACTAATGAAATTCACATAGGACACAGACAATAAAAGCAGCAGTGCTTACACACGTTACCTCCACCCCTCCCTTCTTCCAGGGCCCAAATTACTTTGCTCCCGATTTTTCTCCCTCCTTCCCCCCAGCGGCACAGGGGGACAGGGGATGAAGTTTAGAGTCAGTTCACAGGCTGGTGGTTCCTGGTGCTCTTTCCTCCTCAGGAAGAAGGATTCCTTACAGTCCTTCCCTGCTTCCCACGGGGTCCCTCCCATGGCAGAGATTCTTCCATCAACCTCTCCTTCATGAGTCCTTCCCATGAGGTCTGGAACTGGGGGAGGTTCTCAGCTTCTTACAGGAGCCACTGCTGGTACCCTTCCCCCACTACCAAAAAACCCACCAAACCAGCACAGAGACTCATAGGTTGCGAGAAAAAAAAAATGAAAGAAAATTTAGCAATAATGATAATAGTATATTAAACAGTAATAATAGTATTAGTAATAATAAGAAGAAGAATATCTGGAGCAGTGAAGCACAGTGTGACTGCTTACAACCCACTGACCAAGGCCCAGCATATTCCTGGCTAACTATCCCAGAGGAGGAGAGAGATCCCAAAACTGCAATCCTGCAAGAGAAAGAAAGCAAATTCCCCACCAAGTCTCAACTATACACTGATCGTGACCTTGAATGATAAGGAATACTCCACTGGCCGCTTTGGATCACTTTTTCTGATTATACTCCCTCCTGGCTTGTTCACCACACTGGAAAAATATGGGGTCTTTGATCAATTAGCAACAACTAAAAACATCAGTGAATTATCAATATTCTCCTCAAACCAAACCTCCTACTAAAGCCATATTAAACATAGTGTTATTCTAGCCACTAAGAAGAAAATTAGTTCTATCCCAGCCGAAACCAGGACAAATGTTCGACAGTGTTAAGGGATACAGTGAAGTGTTATCTTTTGTTTCTGAAAAGGGTATTGCTTTTTGTGATGATTCAAGAGTGGTTACATCAGATCTAGATGATTTTTCATGCTTAAAAGAATAAAAAAATTTTCTTTGTACTAGTATCTGGAGTCCACTTCCAAATGATGGCCATGACAACTTAACACAGTGAAGTCTGTTTTATATTGGAAATTTTTGCAAGTCTCTTATGTTTTTTTAAATTCTCTTCTAAATGGGATCTTTAAATTACTCCTGCTCATCTTATAATTGCATCAGTTTTTAACACCTCCACTATATGGTTAATATGCTATGAATTTGTATTATTTTAGATATTCTACTTAAGTTTTACAAGATTAAATTATCCTTTATTTAAAAATCACTGCAGTGATTTGGAACTGGCTGAACTTTTCACTTTCTGAGTACACTGCATTACCAACTAGAATGCAAGCAAAACACCTACAGTTTCCTCCCTCCCCTGTTACTGCCTGAATCTTGAGTGCCACCCACTGTGTGCAGCAAGGTTACTTGGTCAGTTTATTGAGACAACACCTGGATCACATCAGATATGGTGTCCTTGGCAGCCTTCTCACTACACAATGTATATGCAAAATGACCCTCTAGGTATGTCTTACCTAAAATTTATTTAAGGCTGGCTTGCTGCAGAGAAATTCAGTTATTCCTGCCTTAATCTTTCTTGCCTTTTTAAAAATTAAAATAATTTTTTAAAAGCAAATAAATGAATAGCTAGGTGGAAAACAAAGTTGTCTGCTACTTTAGTCTAGCTAGTGGGTAGATGGGGATTGGAGAGAAGCTTCAAACCTTTGGGTCCTACAGGTGTATTCTTTTGAGTGCTTCTTAATGTATGAAGTTGACATGGTGATGATGGGTGATTTTGCATCTGGTGGTGTGTGTTAGGACAACACAACAGCATAGGATTTTTGAGAAAGTGTGCAGTAGCTGCATTACCCCTTTTCTACTGCTGCTCAAAGATCAACTGCTGGCATTCTGCCAAGCTGCATTTACTGGGTTTATGTCCTTTTCAGAAAGGATGGATAACAAGCAGAGGCAGCAGGCTATGAAAATGTGTCCCCCTTGGAGTAATCCTACTGATTATCATACCCATCCTTCTCACCAGGTCCCAGCTTGCAAATACATTCCTCATGAGGAGTTACCTTTTCCTTTTCCTACCATTTGTTACTTCATTGCTCTCTAGTGCCTATGATTCTTTTATTTTTCTAAAAAGAACTGGAGCATTGGCCTGTGGTCCCGGTAGTGGGACTTTAAAGGGCTGAAAGATGTATTGTATAAAACTTATTTCTGTAGACATTGGGTTGTAATATTGAAGCTTAAGGGGAAGATTCTTTTAAGCAATTTAATTTATTTATTTTTTTTTTTTCTTTCAGGATCCTTACAGAAGCAGAGATTGATGTCCACCTTGTAGCTCTGGCAGAGAGAGACTAGTGTTTCCTTTTGCATTGTCTGTGCTTCTGGCCAGAATATTTGGTGAAAACACTTATTAATGGCTTTAGATTATGGGTGGAAAACCATGTTCACTATATGATGTATTTTACTCTGTACAAATAAAACAGAGGTTTTTGAAATACTTGGTGTCTCCTTTTAATGTAATTTTTTTAACTTTCAGTTTTATGCAATTCTCATTAAAATGCTTGATGACTTAGAATATTCTTGTAATCGTTGCTTGCCTTTTAGTTGTATTTTAACAGAAATGTTATGTTCTGTGCTGTATTTTTCATCTGAACTATTTGGCTCCTCGTGTGAAGTTTTATATCACGTGATGTGGCCTTTGTGTCTGAGATAGTTCTCACATCTATGTGTGTTCTCTTCTTGCCCTCGTATTGAAAGGCTTGTAACATTAGTGGTTTAACTGTGGGGAAATGAAGATGATTTTAGTATTTTCTCAGATTTGTATGAGGATATAGGGCAGCTGAGGGAAAATACGAGCTGTGATTCCCAGTACACTCCTTCAAACTCGTTTATTTGGGGTGCAAGTAGTGAATATAACTGACATTTCTGTAATTACTGAGCTCTGAAGCTAACATTTATTTAGGGGAGCAGATTCTATATGCAGTGTACTTTGGGATCTTAGCTGTTTGTCACCTACCTGGTTTTAAGGCTTTGGGCAGTGCCAGAAACAATGTGGATGGATGGAACCAATCATCAAAATCCATCAATGGGAATGTCTCTGGGAAACAAATCCCCTTGCTCCTTCAAAGGTTCTGGGTTAGGAGAAAAGAGAAGATTGCAAAAATGTGAATGAAGGTGAAGAAAAAGGCTCTTTTGTTTTACTTCAACTGAAGAGGTTTCAGCCTTAGCAGCAAAAAGGGAGATTATGAAGCGAGGGGAAGAGGTGGTGAGGAGGGAAGGGGAAGATTACCAGGTACTTTGGGATAGATGCAAGTGTCTTCTTTAGAGAATGTAAAGCTAATACAATCTAGCACCTTACCTTCATTCCTGTGCCATGCTATTCCTATATTTGGTTTAATTTATCCAAATACTTCTCTTCGATTTCTAAAAAATGTTATTTATTTATTTATTTATGGCCCTTTGGGGAAGGCACCATAATTCATCAGAAACTGGGATTGCTTAATTTTTTTTTTTTTTTGCTTTACAGTTAAAGCCTCTTGAATATGTATTTTCCAAGTTCATCATAGTTAAGGAGATGCATTCTGTGGTTGGTGTTTTTAATAAAAGATAATGCTAACCTTTTGTGATAACTGAGTTGAGGAGATTCATCTGTACTGTGAATTGTTGACTTTACAAAGCTTCCTGAATTTCCATTAGTGTCTCGAAATTTCAGCCTCTCTTGTCATATAGTGCAGTACAGATGATAAGATGAAGCCACCTTGCTTCTGGTTTTGTGTTGGTTATCCAAGAATTCTGTGTGGTTTTGTGCAGCCATTGGCAGAATGAATCCTAAAGGCATGTTTGGAAAGGTCTGAGTCATTCCAAGTGACAGCTGCATTTCTGAAACTTCCTAGGACCCTTCTTCTGAGTCCTCAGGTTGCATAACAACCTGGAATTTGAGTAGACTTAAGTAATTATTTATTTTGTCATAAAGTATAACCCTCTGGTACTTATATAGATGAAACTTCAGTAATGACTTGAAGAAAATAAAAAGATGACAACTGGGGAGCCGTATGACTAGAGTACATTTGCATTGTATTTTGTGTTAAAACTCTGCAACACCTTTAATTGTAAATTTTGGAGCCTGCATGTGATTGTATAACCTGGGTGGTGGTTTTGGGAGCACTGACTGTTTGTTCATACCTTATGCTTTTGCAATGCAGAACATCCCAATTTCTCTTCAGAGATGATGGAATAAGCTGTCTACATTCATGGGGAATATTGCTTTTTTATTTTAATAAGCAAAGTTAAAGTTGCAGCAACTGAAATGCCATTTATGCTAGTATTTTTTCCTGTACTGGAAATTCATGGTTCTCTTTTCATAATAATGATGGAGATTTTTCTTTTTCAGTCAAAGCTTTGTGTTGCATAAGATAAGGCAGCTGCACAGATGGGGTTACCTGACCCAAGGGGAAAATCCCATGTGTTACACATACATGTAATCACGTTCCTCACCCTGAATCAGAGAGCACCTGCAACCAAACTGTATCAGGCGTGGCTGGTGTTGAACTGTATTTGTTATCACCTGCTCTTCCAAACCTGGCACTTGCAGCAGAGGCCAGAGCATGCATGATATGATCCTGACACTTCTGGTTTGGGCGGAGCTTGTCAAGAGTGATACCAGACTTGGGCTCACTCCATGTGTTTGTGGTTTGTTGTGCCAGGGCTGAAAACTCTGGTAGATGCAGTTATAGTGTGAATGCTTGAGTAGTTAAGCAGGAATAGGATCAAGTCTTACTCACACACTAGCCCCAGATCAGTGTTATCTGTACTAAGCATAGACATGCTCCACACAGCCTTGTAACTCTGTCCATGCTATGTTCCAAGGGCTCATTATTTGTGGTTAGGGTGTAAGGATGCAAAGGCCAAGTAGATGCAGTCAGATTAGGTAAAACAGTGTTCACTGGAATTTGTGAAAAGCACCTGGATTTTTTATGAACAGCCCCTGAGAGGGGCCCAGAGGCAGCAATGTCATGTATTACAGACAGAAATAGCTTAACAAGGAGTCTTAACATCAGTGGTCTGTGGGTGACCAGGAGTTGTCTGTATGTTCAGTCATCCTGGCAACAAACGATGCCAAGGCAGGTGGGAACCAACATCTCCAGTATGTCAGATAATTCTATAGTGCAACACGTGGTATTGAATCAACTTGGAATGCACAATGTTGACCACACTTTTTCAGTAAAGCCTCCAGCGGTGACAGACTTAAGCACAGAGAGGCTCAAGTGGAGCAAGTATGTGTAGATGTATTATCGCAACCTTAATTACATGGAATAATATGCTGCATTTTTCTTTGCCTTCTCTCTCCTGTTCCTCATTAGCCCAATCTCAGGGTGTAATGAATAAATATTTTGGTTCGGTGCACCTTGCTGGAAGTAACATGAAATAATTAGATCTGTAGCTTGCTTGCATCTGAAAAAAATAAATAAATAAACTTTTCCTCTTTATTTTTTCCCCTGACATACAAACAAAGCCTGCTATTGAGTTCTGCAAAACAGCAGCCTTGTTGGCTCACGGGTTGTGTGAAGCGTATCCATGACATTGTTCATGTTTTCTTCTAGAAAAAAAACAACACTGCACTACCAGGAAACTAACGGTAGGGGCACTAGTATTCATTTTGTAATCACAGTTTCGTTGTTTTCTTTTTTCCGATGGGAAGTTCTTGAATTGTCGTAGCTTGTTCCAGCCAGTCTTTGCTAGTAACAGTTTGTTCTGTTCTCTTTGTTTTGCTATAACCCAAACTATTTGGAAACAATGCAAGACATCCTGTAGTTTAGGATCTGTTGAAACAGTGAACTTAAACCTCTCATGCCCAAACTAAAACAAGGATCCTCATGTGCTTATGCAAAGCTGCTTAAAATAGTGTCTGGATTTTGTTTATCATTATTCTCACATTAAAAAAAAAATCCAAAACCAAAACAAAACATTTTCTCCTGTCCTTTGTACTTTGTACAGATAAACTTGCATTTCTAAAATGAGAGTCAAAATCCACAGTGAATAGCAGTATTTGCTGCTCTTCACCAAGATTTTCTTAGCACAGTAATCTTTTCTCTAGTACTAGTCTTACCTGTGTCACCATCCTCTATGAAATTTCTGTGCCACAGTGTTAAATCTGGGAACTGTGATGTACTTGACGGTAACCCTGGTGAATAAATAGACCCAGCATGTCACTAAGTCAAAATCCATCTAACTGTTTGGCAGAACTGAGTCATCTAGGAAGAAGTGTGTGCTTTCATTCTTTGGGTTGATGTTTTTTTTCTCCTGATACTTTTTAGAACCCGTCAGCTGTAGCTGAGCTTCCCATCTGTGGTGCAGATGCACTACATGACCTCGCTGTGCAACTCACGGTGGGTTAGCTGACATCATGTATGTTGACCCAGAGCCTCTGCAGTGCAGTTTCCTAGCTAAGGCTCTAGCAGCCTAGTATGCAGTGCAGATTAGGGCACACCAGCCAAGCTTTAACTTTTGCCAGCAAATTTTATCTGTTTGTCTTTTCTTCCAGAAAACTACCTCTTGTGACACCCACTGTGAACATAAGGTATTTAATCCTTTACAGGATTCCTTAGACTAGAAAGTAACCCTCTCTAAAGTTAGAGAGTCAGACTTGGTAGTTGGGAATGGAGAAATGCAGCAGTAATGTGCATCAGCTGGGTTTGCATGATCAGGAATGGGAATTCCTTTGTGTGAGAAATGATACAGCTGTGATCCTTGCATGCACACTAGCCCTCTTCCCTGTTTTGGTCCCAGCTGTGTCCACCCTCCTCCTTCAGCCAGCACCGCTACTCATTTATATTTGTAATCAGCTGTTTGTTCACTAAACTGCTGGTAAACACAGTTTGGTTTGCTTCAGTTCTCTGTTGGATTAGTGACCTGAATCAGCTTGCTGTAGGATCATGCTGGGTGTAGGGCTGGTGTAAAGGGGGGAAGAAGGACATGGGATTGTGCTGCTTCTGGTTTAAGCTGCTGTGGAAACCTTGGCCAGCTTCAAAGGGACAAGAGTAACCATAGCTCATTGTCCTCTTGACTACTCTTTGACTTATCCCTGTGAGATGACACCTGTTCCACCAAAGTGGTATTTGCCTTGGCCAATAGGTGACAGAAGCCTTCACTGAGCAGCATCAAGAAGCAGGAATGTGCATCAGCTGGGTTTGCATGATCAGGAATGGGAATTCCTTTGTGTGAGAAATGATACAGCTGTGATCCTTGCATGCACACTAGCCCTCTTCCCTGTTTTGGTCCCAGCTGTGTCCACCCTCCTCCTTCAGCCAGCACCGCTACTCATTTATATTTGTAATCAGCTGTTTGTTCACTAAACTGCTGGTAAACACAGTTTGGTTTGCTTCAGTTCTCTGTTGGATTAGTGACCTGAATCAGCTTGCTGTAGGATCATGCTGGGTGTAGGGCTGGTGTAAAGGGGGGAAGAAGGACATGGGATTGTGCTGCTTCTGGTTTAAGC